CACACCCAGATGAGGAATGTACTGCCTCCAGCATCCAAACAGGCCCACCAAGTGTTGTGCTTCTTTCTTGTTGGAGGGAGGGGCCAAATGCAACAACTTATTCTTCACCTTAGAGGGAATGTCTCTGCATGCTCCACACCACTGAACTCCTAGAAATTTCACCGAGGTAGTAGGCCCTTGAATTTTGGTTGGATTTATTTCCTATCCTCTCATTCGCATATGCTTTACCAACAAGTCCAGACTGTCTGCTACCTCCTGCTCACTGGATCCAATCAGCATAACATCATCAATGGAGTGGACCAGTGTGATACTTTGTGGAAGAGGCAGTCAATCAAGATCCCTTCGAACCAAGCTATGGCATAGTGCTGGAGAGTTAATATACCCTTGAGGCAGGACAGTAAAGGTATACTGTTGGCCTTGCCAGCTGAAAGCAAATTGCTTCTGGTGTTCCTATGAACCAGTATCAAGAAGAAAGCATTTGCCAAATCAATAGTTGCATACCAGGTACCAGGAGATATATTACTCTGCTCGAGTAAGGAAACCACATCTGGTACAGCAGCTGCACTTGGAGTCACTACTTGATTAAGTTTTCGATAGTCAGCTGTCATTCTCCATGACCCATCTGTCTTCTGCACAGGCCAAATAGGAGAGTCAAAGGGAGATGTGGTGGGAATCACCACCCCTGCGTCCTTCAAATCCTTGATGGTAGCACTAATTTCTGTAATCCCTTCAGGGATGTGATACTGTTTTTGGTTCACTATTTTCCCTGGCAGAGGCAATTCCAGTGGTTTCCATTTGGCCTTTCCAACCATAATAGCCCTCACTCCACAGGTCAGGGAACCAATGTGGGGATTCTCCCAATTCCTAAGTATATCTATCCCAATTATACATTCTGGTACTGGGGAAATAACCACAGGATGAGTTCAGGGACCCACTGGACCCACTGTCAGTCGGACTTCAGGCAAAATTCCATTTGAGGGCCACAGTGCTTTCTAGGATCTCCTGGAATCAGTGTCAACTCAGAACCAGTATTCAATAGGCTGCGGACAGTCTGATTATTTCCTTTCCCCCAATGTACAGTTACTCTAGTAAAAGGCCGTAGGTCCCTCTGGGGAAGGATGGGTGAGAGTTGAACAGCATAACTCTTTGGTAGTGTAACACGGTCCTTCCTCAGGGGCACCCGGCCTTCCCTTCATTCAAGGGGTTCTGGGTCTGTAAATTTTCTCAAATCTAGAAATTGGTTGACTGAGCGAGATTCTTTATTGCTACGATCCAATACTGACTTCCTGTCATTCGTCCTAGAGCTTTTCTGCTTATACAGATCAAATAAAAACTTAGTAGGCTTCTTATGTATGTAGTCCCTGGAAACACCATGATTGATTTTCCAGTACCACAGGTCCATTCAAGTCATGCCATTTTAGGTATTGATTTGCCTTTGCCGCCCATTACGATAAGTATGCTTGTTAGGGTCCAAGAGTCGGGAATAATTCCCACAGACATGAAGTAAAAATGCATAAAAATTTTATTTGGAAATTTAAAGTATCAAGTAACCAAATTAGCGGCTAGCTGGGCAAGGACTCCACAAGCCAAAGATGGCGTCCAGCCCCAAACAATAGCAAGCAGGGACTTTTATTGAAGAATTTCACACAAACCCGTGTGCGCCAAGCGTCTTTTAAAATAATTGGATGGCCCCATGTCCTGAGTATGGGGGAAGTTTTGATTGGTAGGGGCTGTCTTCAGGGCATTGGAATGTGCTGACTGATATCTTTAGGGCCAGAAGTTTTTGTTCATACCTTATAAGGCTTTTATATGTTTAGGGCTTGCTTAATCTATAGCTTCCCAGGGCAGGGGGGTGTAGCAACTGAAAAAATTTACAATATGCCTGAGCTTGTCTGAAGAAGCTAGCCAAATGGAATCAGTGCATTCTGGCTCTTCATTCCCCCCCTAGAGTTATGGCAAGGGTTAAATCTTTAAGCCAAGCAAATTACAGAAGCGAAAGAAAGAAGCAGTTAGCACATTTAGGGGGCTATTGATATTGTAACAATGCTCAGCTTGTCTTTGGTAATTCAATACTGCCACCTGACCCCTACTCCGAGGTCCTGTTACACCTATTATATTTACATTTAATTTATGCAATTGAGCAGCAGCATCTCCAGCTGTAAGATTCCGCATAAGGAAAAGAGCAAAAACAAAGCTCTTCAAACGTTCTGGTGTCTCTCTCAGTACTTTCCATCTTATAACATCAGTAAAAGGCATGTCCTCTGGGCCCTCCCATTGTGGAGGATTTGGTGTTGCACTGTGAATCCACTCGAATACCAATTTTCCTGAGCTTTACAATCCCTTCATCAATACTAAGCCAAGGGATATTAGGTATCTCCAGCTCTCTGTCAGTAGGCCATCTTTTGATAAATACCTCAGCCAACCAATCAAATAAACTTTTAACACCTTTTTTAACTGCACGAGCTTCCATATTAAACCTAGAATTTCCAGTCAGGGGGCCCATGTCAATAAACTCAGCCTGATCCAATTTTATGTTCCTTCCACCATTATCCCATACCCTTAAAATCCATTCCCAGACATATTCATTAGATTTCTGTTTGAAAGAATTAGCAAATTCACTTAGTTCTTTAGTGGTGTAGTGCACCTCCTCATGGACCACACTTTCTATCTCTCCTCTAGGGGCCTGCTTAGCTTTGAGTCTGGTTATAGGTCTAGAGGCAATAATAACTGGGCCCTGAGGGATATCAGCTTCATCTTGCTGAATGGGATTAG